CATCATATAGTTCCAAATGCTAGAACTTATGCCCATTTCATTCAAAGCATGTTATTGATTTGCATAACACATATTCAAGAAGAAGTTGTGTAGTGACCACCACCAAAGCCAAATTGCCATATTTCCCTATTTTATTTATTTTGTAGGATTTAACCCCGTTGAGCCTTGTGTAGCCTACTTTCTTTGTTAACCCACAATTATCCTCACCTAGCCTAGTTTAGGACAATCCACACCCTTGTTCTTAAAAGATAGTGAGCATGACTTAAATGAATTCCTTTTGAGTTACATTATGCAAGAAAATGAGTGTGGGGGAAGGAATGCTTGTTCTTAAGTATGTTTTGAGATTCAAAAGAAAAGAAAAACAGAAAAGAAAAGAAAGAAAGAAAGAAAAAAGAGCTTGAAAAAAATGAAAGAATGAGTGATTGAAGAAAGGGTTCAAAACACCAATTCTGGTCCTAAATTGTCTAAATTCTCCCTTTTTGTTCAAAAGTTGAGTTTTCATTCAAAAGTGAATTCTAAGTTGATTCAATTGCCTTGCTCACTATTTCTTTAAGAACCTTTGTTTTCCAACCTTGGCCGTGAGTTTTCCCTTCCAATTCCACCACACCACACTTCCATTCCCCCCAAACCAACTATCCTTAGACCTTGTGCCACAATAAAGAGGAAGAGAAGAGGGCCTAAACGTTCATACAATTCAAGTATGAGTTGTTGGAATGTTTAGGCATTTCTTTGATTTCAATGTTTAATTTCAATTCTCTTTGTTTTGTACGTATGAGGAACTAAACCCCCCTTAGCTCGGGGGTGATTCGAAATATATGTTTATGCTTGCAATATGATTTGATTACTTCTAATTACGTTTCATAAGTTGTGAATTCAATTTGTTTAACTGTTTGATTGATAACCTATTTATGTATGTTTATTGAGAGTGGACGCTTAATTTTCATGCATGAATTTGACGCTAGAATATAAGTGAGTTTCACGTAATAGTTATGAACTTATATTCACAAGTAGTGGAGGTTGCTTATAAACAATCGCGTTAAACATATTCTTGGCATAAGTTTCATGCAATCATAGTAACGAATGCCTCGTCAACACTTATAGTTTTCATGTTGCTTAATGATTCTTGCTTGTATCTCTATTATGCAATTCATGTAGGGAATTTGTGAGGAATGCTTTGGGTTGTCGTATGCAATCATCCAATTCATTAACTTAAGGAAAACTTGACGGTTAATTTAAGCGGACCTAATTAACCCGGGGCGTTGAGAATTCATGGTTTAGTGAAAAGCCATTAGAAAGCGTTTTGTATGCAAGTATAACATGTGTGGAGATGAACCCCTTAGCTAACTTCCCATCCATTCATTTCCGTCAAATTCGTATTTACAATTTGTTTTCTTTACATTCTATCCATTTTAGTTTAAATTCGTCCAAACCTCAATCCCCCCATGTTTGTTTAGTCTTAGTCTTAATCTATCTTATTTTGAGTTTTGCATTCTTTGAGTCTAGTATAGTGTTTTAAACTTGTTTTTACGTTTTTGAAGTCAAATCCAAGTGATTAACAATCTCTCCTAATCCCCGGTCCAGAACGATCCCTACTTATACTTATACTACAATTGTCACAAGAGGGTTTAATTTGTGTGCGTATAAATTCTCGCATCAATTCCAAAATAATAGAAAATAAAGATACACTATAAAAAAGTTTGAGTTTTAATAAAAAAAAAATGCTATAACTACCTCCACCGTCTCACCGTTGAGGTCACCACCATTACAACTATAACCACCACCACCACCTCTCACCACCATCACCGCATTCTTCAACCCATTACCCTCACCATGGCCTCCAGCACCTCCACAATCTCTGCCACCATCATCCCCGCCACCTCTCAACCACCATTTTCACAACCATTGTTAACACAACCAATGGCAGAGCTAGAAATTTTTCACCGGGTGGGTTAGCTTAAAAATTTAAATATATAAACAAAGAAACTTGATATCGTATTTTTCACATTACCAGCTAGCTTCAGAAAATTTTCACAAGGTGAGCTAAGAGTTTTCGTTATTAAACAAATACATGTGAAAATTCAAACATGCCCAAAATTGTACATGTACAAGAAGCGATGAGAAAAAATGATGTAAGAAAAAGAGATTGTTTGTAAAATGTATTATATAATTACACCGAAAGAATTCAGATTAGAGACTAAATATATGGTGGGCTACATTCGAAAATTAATGAAAATTACATGCAAAATTTTATTTTTCACCGAAAGCTACCTGGGGCTATAGCCCGAGGTAGCCCTTAATGTGGCTCCACCACTAAACACAACCATGATTTTTCACCATCATAGGCATCGCCACCACCACCACTATGCCACCATTGCCCTATACTTCGTTGTTGTCACCACCTAAATCCCACCATTAATAACACCTCTATTGTCATTTGTCACCACTCACAACTACTACTAGTACCACCACTCTAACCACCATTGCTCGTGTTGTCTCAACTACTATGTGTCGCTATTACTACCAAAGACAAATTTATATATATGCATACATATATATATATATATATAGATTGCATTAAAGATGTTGGTCGTAGCGCATTTTCAATGTTTTCATTCTATTACATTATCTTCAAATTAAACTACCAAACACATTTTCACATTTTGAAAGTGCAAAATTCTATTTATCGTTATCCTTTTACCCAATTCTTCAAAAATCATTTGGTAATAATGTTACATGTGTCACAAATAGAGCGTAAGGAGTAAAATGAAATTTTATGTAAGGCACAACTCATTCAGTGTGTAGATGCTGATGATGAAGTTGTTTGTTTTTTTAATTATGTGCTTCAGCCAGCAGCGTTCTCCTACAACAATCCGCTGAAAACAAGAAACAATGAACTCATGGAGCAAACTCAAAATTAGTCACAGCAAGGTGAACTCATTTGCGGTATTCTAGAAGTGAACTCGTTTGCGGCGAGTCCCGCTTTTAAAATAATTGAACGCGGTTTTGGTAAAAATATTTTTGGAACCAATACTTAGTAAAAATGCAAGTGAGTCATGGAAAAACATTTTATTGTTTCGTGCAAAAAGCACATAATTATCTTCTTGCAAGAAATATTTTAAATGCTTTTGAAATATAAAAATATTTTCTCTAAAAAATTATTTTTAAAGCAGTTTCAAACAAAGCCCTACATTAATCAAGATATTGATTTTTTAATACTTCTTTGGTTATGGTTCTAGGATTTAGCTTTGCTTATTGGGGGATTCTACAATGTTATTTTTTGGTTCACTACTTAAGGGGTTTAGAATGTGAAACAAAAATTATGGTTTTAGAATGAAACAAAAAAAACTAGTGATTGGATAAGTACGTAGCAAAAGTGTTGTACCAAATGTTTTCGGTTATACCTCATTGATTCATGGGTTATGCAACATGAGACGCTGGGAAGAAGTGCTCTGTCTGTTTGAAGGAATGGTGGATGAAGGAGTCAGGCCAGATGTTGTCACCTATAACACTCTAATTTATGCATTGTGCCAATCGGGAAGGTTTGAAAAGGCCAAGAGCTTCTTGATTTGCATGCCTAACAGTGGAATTTCACCCGATGTATACACATATAATGTTCTTATCGGCCGTCTTTGCAAGGAAGAAAGAATTCAAGAAGCACTTACTCTGTTTGAAAAGATGACAACGAATGGCCTAAAGCCTGATGTTGTCACTTTTAATTCCTTGATTTCTGCTTCGTGCAAGTCTGGTAACTGGGAGGAAGGTGTGAGGTTATTTAAAACCATGATTGGTTATGGAGTCTTGCCTGATATTGTTACATACAATTCTGTACTGGATGCTTTATGCAAGGAAGGGAAGACAGCAGAGGCGCTGAATCTGGTGGACGAAATGATTTGTAGAGAGGAAAAGCCTGATGTTGTGACTTACAACTCCTTAATTAATGGATTGTGCCGTACCAACCAATGGAGAGAAGCCACAAGGTTGTTTGACAAAATGTTATGCCATGGAATCTTACCTAATTGCATAACTTTGAAGATACTTTCTGGTGCTCTCTGCAATGGAGGGATGACCGATGAGGTTCGCAAATAATTTAAGGCGAGAATGGATGGAGCTTTGAAGATTTTTCCTAATGCTTCATGTGCAGAATAATATGCTGCCTGGTTTGAAATTTATATTAATGAAGAGTGGTCATATATTAATGAATGGATTTTGGTGTGATGGGGTAATTCACTGGTTATGTTTTTCTTGTTTCTGTTACGTGCTCTTGTGCTACAATGGAAACTCTTTTTCGTATAAGCTAAGGATTAAATGTTGGCCCCTCCGTAGTAATCTAAAATTTTCTCATCCAAACGCAGTGTTGGGGTATGTTTGGGTAAGGAACTTCCAAATTCCAAGGAACTAAAGCATAGTGATGAAGAAATAGACTATAAAAGAATTAGAGAGGAGAAATGAGAAATGCACCACATGACCATTACAAAAAACAGACCGACTGGATACCGCATAATACAGCGATGATTGCTGAGCTGGTCCTCCCTCCCTCCCTCATCTAAGAATGCGCTTTCATTAGTCCAGAAGCTAACTTCATGTCCACCTTTGCAAGAAGAAAATCAAAGTCATTACTAGCTTGCCAGGGTCCGGGAAACACAAGGGAGAGATGAGCGTTGAAGAATGTGAAGTTCCACGTTGGAAACCTGACCGAGTTAAATACAGTTTATACAAGAAAAGCTTTTGTGAAACAGATATAAAAAAGGAAGGGTCGAGAACTTCTGGAACCAGACCAACGCGTTGACATCATATAGAAACAGACAGACGCGTGGCTCATGAACAGTACTGGAGCAATGAAGGACGAAATAAGGAAGATGATCAATACATTCTCGATGGATAACACTTTACCTTGAAGAAACGGCTCTCTACTGTGTATGTATGAATGTCTGCAGTGTCGTGGGAATTGTAAAGGTTAGAAATTTGTTTAATGCAATCCGATTTGTACTTTGTTCAATTAGGTATGGTTATTGACTGATCTATCGAGCTTGAAATCAAGTCAATAAGGACCATGAATTCCCAACTCTAAATTTTTATGTAACTATTGTGTTTAAATTGAATAATTTTCTTTATCCCTCAATAACGTTTTGGCAATATGAGTGTGAAATCAAGCCGTTTTGATAGGTATTGTGACTTCTACCTTCCACTTAAAGCTCCTTTTGGCCGGGTGTATCTGACCTAGGTTCGTATCAGAAGAAGTTAGTTTTGTTCTTGCTGTCCTTTATTCTACAAGTCTAAAGAAATAAGTACTCCGAGAGACCATGCTTACAATGTGAACTTTTTGTAACTCTGGCATTCCACCTTCCTTTAGTATGATTCTGTGCATGACTTTGCTTGTAATGAGCAATACATACGTATACCGGTCTGCCTTTTTGCACGTGTGAAAAGAGGAGGATTAGCATTACTGTAGTTGATGTATAAGTGACATCTTTTTGTTCAAGGGATTCGATCAGCTGATAAAATTATAGAACTGACCTGGACCTTGATCTCCTGCAGAGTCCTGAGTAAGCGGCGTCAGATTAGTATGGTTCTCCTCCCCACTCTGATTCAGAAGCTTCTTCTTTAGCCCATTATTGTTTTTAGTGTATACTGATGTAGTACGAAAAAGCACTTCGTTATTCTTTTGATCTTGCATCCTTGCGTGCTTCAAATGTAAAGATGTGGATGGTGAGGTGCGTATTTGCAAATTAATGCCAAAACAAATTTGATGATTTAGTTTGTGTTTGGCTTTCAGAGATTCACACACACACACACACACACACACACACACACACACATATATAGTTTTATCACTCCAAATGGTCTGGGATATCCGGATTGAGCTTTTAGCCCAATATATGTGTCGCCACACGACTAGGTTTCTCCCCCAGATTTAACGCCACTAGTGCTGTCGAACACATCTTTTGTAATTGTATCTTTTCTTGCTACTTATATCCATGTGAGGTACTGTCCTTTGGATCAAAGTAATGTAGTTCTGTTCTTGCTCGGGCGGTCAAATTATACTTTGATTTTAAGGTAATCGATAACGAAGCTAAGCAGCTTAAGAGAAGGGATTTTAGTTGTAGAGTTCTTTCAAACTGCATCGATGACTTGTGCTTTCGGTAATCTCTGTTGGTTCTCCATAACAGTAATCCATTTGTCTGCTCTTATGAACTGGCACGGCCTATTGATTCAAATCTATCACGTACTACTTAATCTCCCTGTGCAACTCCACCACCGTCGTCTCCATCGTGTCATCTGCTTCTGTCAAGGAAACCGAGATTCATACGCAGTCCTAGTCCCAGGCGTTTTAGCTTCTCTGTATGTAATTTCCTTTTGATTAGGAATCCTTCGCTACATTAATAGTGTGCACAGCTGATTCAGTATGCGTGTTTAGATGTTGATGATGAAGTTGTTTGCTCTTTGAATTATGTGCTTCAGCCAGCAACGTTCTCCTAGAACAATCTGCTGAAAACAAGAAACAATGAACTCATGGAGCAAACTCAAAATTAGTCACAGCAAGGTGAACTCATTTGAGGAATTCTAGAAGCGAACTCGTTTGTGGCGAGTCCAGCCTTCAAAATAATTGAAAGCGATTTTGAGGAAAATGTTTTTGGAACCAATACTTAATAAAAATGCAGGTAAGTCCTGAAAAACATTTTATTGCTTCGTGCAAGAAACACATAATTGTCTTCTTGCAAGAAATACTTAAGCACTTTTAGAATCTAAAAATAGTTTCTCTAAAAAGTCATTTTCAAAGCAATTTCAAACAAACTCTACATTGATCAAGATATTGGTTTTTTAAAACTTCTTTTTGGCTTTTGCTTATTGTAGGATTGTACAATGGTATTTTTTGGTTTACTACTTTTGGGGTTTATAATGTGAAACAAAAATTATAGTTTAAGAATGAAACAAAAAATTTAGTGATAGGACAAGTGCGCATTAACTTTGTGGTTTTGTTTAAAAAATTTGATCCCTTAACATTATCTTAGGTCGTTAGTTTGACTCAACAAAGTCATTAAAAAGTAACTTACATATATAAGTACTCAGAAATGCCTAATAGAAGAAGGGCAATTTAGATATTATGAAAGTTTCACTTTTTTGGTCATCGCATTTCATTTATGCTAATTCTTTTGTCATATGTTTACATAGCATTAGTAAGTTAAATGTTAGATTAACTCCCGACGATATTCAAACTTGGCACAACACATTTTCATCACTGTGACAAATGGTCACTTACTCATGCGCGTGAGGTAGTTTTATTTTGTATTTTTATTGTTTTTTTCTTTTTAATTAAGTTGTATCCCTTAAAAAAAAAAATAATAATAATAATAGAGCGGTATGTAAGAAGTTTTTAAAAACTTCACATTTTTAGTCTTATATAGATTATAACACTCCGTAAATACATGTTGCATATTTTATGTCATGAGCATAAAGGTGTTGTTTTTAAGAATACTGAATTAGGGTTTGAAACAAGAACCAATTGAAGTCAGTTTCTTTTCAATTGCAGCTTGATTCCAGAGAAGGATTGAAATTCATGGGATTTCATGAACTGGGCTGAATCTGTGGAAGATGAAGATAAAGGTGATAACCACGAGACTTCCTAACTCAACTGGTAATCCTTCATTCATTTTTACCTTTCTGCACAAAAAAGATGGATTTCATTCCGCTGCTGGCAATGCTAATGCTACTAGTACAGATAGATTTAATCAAACCCATTCGGAATCGGACAATTTGATTCAAACTCGATGCAAATCTGGAAAGATTAGGAAAGATGAAGCATTCGGTTACTTCGATTCCATGATTCAAACCAAACCCTTGCCCTCTATTTGGACTTTCAATTGTTTGTTTAGGGCACTCTCCAAGATGAAGGAGTATTCTGCTGTGGTTTCTATGTGTAAACAGTTGATGGGTTGCGCTCAATTCCGACCTGATGTCTGTACAATGAATATTGTTCTGAATTGCTTGTGCCGTCTGAACTGGGTGGACTTGGGTTTCTCTGTTTTAGCAACTACCCTTAACTATGGTCTTCAACCCGATGCTCATTCTATAAGTATTTTACTTCACGGACTTTGCAAGTACAGTTCCTGGGACGAGGCAATGGAGATGTTCAAGTTAATAGAAGAGAAGGGATACACATGCGATGAAATCACTTATGCTACCATGATCAATGGACTATGCAAGGCTGGGAAAACTTCTAAGGCACTCGAGATACTTATGAATATGTTGGAAGATGGAAGGTTCAAGCCCAAACAAGACTACTACAATCCCATCATAGATAGCCTGTGTAAGGAAAGACAAGTAGATGAGGCCTTGACCCTATTTCGTTATATGATCAGCAAAAGTGTTGTACCGGATATTATCACTTATAACACTTTGATTCATGGGTTATGCAACATGAGTCGCTGGGAAGAAGTGCTCTCTCTTTTTGAAGCAATGGAAGATCAAGGAGTCAGGCCAGATGTTTTAACCTAAACCGCTTTAATTTATGCATTGTGCCAATTGGGGAGGTTGGAAAAAGCCAAGAGCTTCTTGATTTGCGTGCTTAACAGTGGAATTTCATCCAATGTATACACATATAATGTTCTTATCAGCGGTCTTTGCAAGGAAGAAAGAATTCAAGAAGCGCTTACTCTGTTTGAAAAGATGACAATGAGAGGCATAACGCCTGATGTTGTCACTTTTAATTGCTTGATTTCTGCTTCATGCAAGTCTGGTAACTGGGAGGAAGTTATGAGTTTATTTAAAACCATGATTGGTTATGGAGCCTTGCCTGATATTGTTACATATAATTCTGTACTGGATGCTTTATGCAAGGAAGGGAAGACAGCAGAGGCACTGAATCTTGTGGAAGAAATGATCTGTAGAGAGGAAAAGCCTAATGTTGTGACTTACAACTCCTTAATTAATGGATTGTGCCGGACCAACCAATGGAGAGAAGCTACAAGGGTGTTTAATAGAATGCTGGATGAAGGTATTGCCCCAAATGTATCACTTACAACAGTTTACTTCACGGGCTTTGCAAGTACAGTACCTGGGACGAGGCAATGGAGCTGTTCAAGTTAATAGAAGAGAAGGGATACACATGCAATGAAATCACTTATGCTACCATGATCAATGGACTATGCAAGGCTGGGAAAACTTCTAAGGCACTCGAGATACTTACGACTATGTTGGAAGACGTAAAGTTCAAGCCCAAACAAGGCTGCTACAATCCCATCATAGATTGCCTGTGTAAGGAAGGACAAATAGATGATGCCTTGACCCTATTTCGAGATATGATCAGCAAAAGTGTTGTACCGGGTGTTATCACTTATACCACTTTGATTCATGGGTTATGCAACATGAGTCGCTGGGAAGAAGTGCTCTCTCTATTTGAAGAAATGGTAGATCAAGGAGTCAGGCCAAATGTTGTCACGTATAACACTCTAATTTATGCATTGTGCCAATCAGGAAGGTTGGAAAAAGCCAAGAGCTTCTTGATTTGCATGCTTAACAGTGGAATTTCACCCAATGTATACACATATAATGTTCTTATCAGCGTTCTTTGCGAGGAAGAAAGAATTCAAGAAGCGCTTACTCTGTTTGAAAAGATGACAATGAGAGGCATAAAGCCTGATGTTGTCACTTTTAATTGCTTGATTTCTGCTTCATGCAAGTCTGGTAACTGGGAGGAAGTTATGAGTTTATTTAAAACCATGATTGGTTATGGAGCCTTGCCTGATATTGTTACATATAATTCTGTACTGGATGCTTTATGCAAGGAAGGGAAGACAGGAGAGGCACTGAATCTTGTGGAAGAAATGATCCGTAGAGAGGAAAAGCCTAATGTTGTGACTTACAACTCCTTAATTAATGGATTGTGCCGGACCAGCCAATGGAGAGAAGCTACAAGGGTGTTTAATAGAATGCTTAATGACGGTATTGCCCTAGATGTTATCACTTACAACAGTTTAATCAATGGCATGTGCCGTACGGCTCAATGGGAAGAAGCCACAAGGTTGTTTGATGATATGGTAGGCCGGGGACTCACAAATGTTAGAACCTATAATAATATGATAAGTTCTCTTTGCAAGGAGGGGAAGACGAAAGAAACGCTCAATATGTTAGAGTTAATGACTCAAAGAGGTATGGCACCTGATGTTATCACTTATAACAGTTTAATCCATGGCAGGTGCCGTACAGCTCAATGGGAAGAAGCCACAAGGTTGTCTGATGATACGGTAGGCCGGGGACTCTTGCCTGATACCGTTACTTTGGTAATACTTTTGGACGCTATCTGCAAAGGTGGGATGACAGAAGAGACTCACAAAATATTTGAGGCAACAATTGAATACAGTATGAAACTCAGCACAATAACTTGCAGTATGCTGGTTAGTGAATATTGTTTGCAGGGCAGAATGGATACGGCGAAGGTGGTCTTGAACTTAATGGTGATTATGGGTTATGCGCCTGATATTGCTTCCTATAAAACCTTGGTCAACGGCTATATAAACGTTAACAGAATCGGTGAAGCTTTGAGGCTTGTTGAAGAAATGATCCAAATAGGATTGAAGCCTGATCTGGAAATGCAACAAACATTGGGGCGTTTTCGCCGTAAAAGCCACGTTGGATTAGTAGGGTAATGCTCAAACTGTCCAATATATATGTGGTTGTATCCTAATTGTTGGCATTGTTGATGTTCCTTAAACACAACCAGCGAGATGATGTTTTATACAATCTGCAAACATTCGGTTGACTCATCCTGTGGAAACATTTATGTGGCCTTTTAAATGCTTAGCAAGATGGAATTCTATTCCATTAACTGAAGATGGTATAACAGGATCTTGTTTTGTAGATACCATATGCTCCAAATAGCATTAAAGCATTGGGGTTCCGCCTATATACAATTATGCAATTCGACTATTTCGATTCATTTTTATAATTCAACTGATAAACAAACAACGAGCGCTCGCAATCAGAAGATATGACAATTAAGTTTTCTCAATATAAAAGCTTTTGGTGATTAAATCTCCATTTTGGATGTTCGATTTATACCTACAACGACAAAATATAAAAAACAAAACTATGCCATCAAAATCATACCAATCAATCAATATAAACAGTTCATTGAAAGCATGAATGTTGAAACAAAACTACACCAAAAAAGAAAAATGAAAAAAATGGTTGATCCTATGGATCATAACTAATATTCATCATTCCAAAAATAGATTAAATAAGAAATTCCACAATATAAAATTGACATAGAAAATCCAAAATAAAATCAAAATAATAAAAGTACATGGTTATAGTGTAGGTTTATCTCCTAGCCGTTGCTATGGAGATTAGTTTTCCATAAACACAAAGAATTCTAAGAATTGAAAACTAACAGAAGAAAAACAGGAGAGAACGTTAAAATGGAGCCAAATCCTTGCCTGAAACACAAGAGAGAGACGAGAGGAATCGTATATCAATGGTCTTCTTGGACGCGTTGAAGAATATTAAGTCCAATGTCGGAAACCTGACCGAAATGAAAATGTTGCCACTCACATTCAACTCGTGATCGCCAACATCCTTTTCTTTTTTCCTGGTCCAACTTCGCCTTCTACATTGTCATCATCTTCACCACCATCCTCGGGCATACTGCAATTTCCCAAGTGGACACCGCAGCCATTTATGAGCACCCCTTTTCCAAATAAGCGGTAAACATAAACTCAACAAAGATACGGCTTTGATTGATCACCACCCTCATCCACCTCCGAGTTTATGTGAGCCGGTAATGGAATATATTTTAGCCACACATGAGCTGCATCTGTCTCTTTTGATCGAAAAGTAAAACCAGTCGGGTCATTTATATGTACTCCATTGACTGCAGTCCGTGTATAAAAAATACATTGCCCAGAAAAATTTTGCGCGATTTTGAAAGCAACACAGAAAACAAGTCCTGTGTTTTTACATTTGAAAGTCCGAGGGATTTCGATAAAAATTTCACATGAACAACCAGGATCAGTCACACGTACGTCCTTACGGCAACTGAACCAATTTGGAACTTCACTGCCTGGAAGTATAATACTTAGCACTTCATAGCACTTCCCCGCCTGTAAGATTCATATAATGAATGTTCATTAGTCGTTCATAGTGGAAGAGTGGAAAAAAGGAAAAGAGAAAGAGAAAAGTGCCTGATGCAGTAATACGCTTGCCATCATGGAGACGTCCAAAGCCAACTTTTCGCATAGCCTTTGGCAACTAGACATGTCCATCCAACGAATGAGTCTCATGTCTCCCTCTGCCAGTATCATCTCTGACAATGTTGGAAATATTTCCAGTAATATGCAATCACGAACGTCAATCCATCTTATCTTTGGTGGAAGTTCTAAAATTTCTCGAAGTCTCTTGCAACCACACAAATCAAGTGCCTCCAACCACACAAATTTGCTAATGCATGCAGGAAGACTCTCAAAATTGCTATTACGTAGAGTAATTTTTGCTAATTTAGACGAGCAACCGAAATTTGCAAGGGAATCAGTGTCCGATAAATTGCATTCATCAAAAAGTATAGTCCATGAAATGGGAAATGCTACTGACCCAAACTTGTCAAGTGAAATGTTTGAGCACAATTTCCATTTTGCCCACAATTTCCGGGAATATCTCAAACTTTTTGCAACCGCGACGATAAAGACTTCTCAGAGATTTCAAGCTTATTGTTGTTGGAAACACTGTAAGGTTATAGCAGTTAACAAGACTTAGTCTTTCAAGTTTATTAAGAAATCCAACTGATGGATCAACCTCAGTTAAATTTGTGCAACCTTCTAGATCCAACCTCACTAAGTTTGGAACTCCGGAGAAGTCGGAGATTCTTGTTAAGTATTGACAACCAGATAAATTTATAGAAGTCAGCTTCGTCAGGTTCTGTGAAGAAAAAAAGAGAGGGAAGGATGAAAACATTTCAAAGGGGACACAGACAAAAGAAAGACACTTTAGCCTTAAATAAAATAGAAAGAAAAAAGATCAACGTATATACCTTAAATCCTTCCCCGAATCCTGTGATCTGGCTGTTCCTCATGTTGAGTAGAACAAGATTCTTCAGATTAAAATTGAGCGGCAAAGATTTCAAAGGACATTCAGGCCAATCAACTAACCTTAAGTTGTTGGGGAGATAATCAACGGCTCCAGAAAACCGTCCATTACAGTTTATGAAAATTTTAAGATTTTTCATGTTGGAGAAGGTTGTAGCACTTAAGCATATCTCATTATCCGATTCAAGCAGCTGTACCTTTATGCCTGTAAGGTTTTTCGTTCCCTAGTATGAAAATTCAAAAGTATTAACAATGCAAGTTCCTTATAAAAAAAATGCATGTCTCATTAACAAATAAAATGTTGTCGAATGGACTTACTGTATTTTCTGTCAGAACACGATAAACATCGTCATGAAACCACAATCTACTGCGCTCTCCAGGATCATTGGGTGATTGTTGGCGAACTACTTCTTTACCCATTTCTTCTACCAAATCGTGCATCCATATAAAACCATGATCTATATTTACGAGGGCCTTCTGTATGAGTACGTCAATGCTATGCTGGGGGTTTAGCTCACAACCTTCTAATATTTCGATCACATAGTTATTGCTTCCCCCTTTAAAGAAGCACGAAATGTCAAGAAAAACTTATTTCACTATTTCATCCAATGCATCATAACTTATCTTGAAAACGTCTTGAATTTCTCGGCTTTTGATCAGACCATCTAATATAGCTTGCCACTTATCTATACTTTCACGGCACAGATATGAACCTAAGACTCTCAAAACTAATGGAAGGCCTTGAGCACACCGTATTGCGTGGTCTACAAGTTTCGCATAACCATCCAAAGGTCCATTGCTTTTGAAGGCATTCCAACTGAAGAGCTCGAGAGCTACATGATGGTTCAATTTCTTCACCTCGTATATTGAAATATTATGATGATGAGCAGTTAACAGTTTCTTATCCCTCGTCGTTATGATAATTCTACTACCAATGCCAAACCAACCATCTGATCCCCCAACTAAGTAGCGTAACTGTCTCATGTCATTCACATTATCAAGAACTAAGAGAATCCTTTTACTGCTTAATCTTTCCTTTATTAAAGTGATTCCTTTATCAACATTGGCCACCTTCAACTTGTCTCCCCCTAAAATCTCATCAAGAAGTGTCTTTTGTAATTTGGCCAATCCTTTATCTGTCATTGAACTTTCTCTAACCTTGTTGAGAAAGCAACTGCCTTCGAATTTGTGGGAAATTAAATTATAAACAGCTTTGGCAATTGTTGATTTACCAATTCCACCAGTCCCTCATAAACCTACCATACGGACATCATTTCTCCCAACATGTAAGAGGTTATTTATTTCTTGTGCACGAGACTCTATTCCAACTGGGTATTCGGCCACATCCAAATATGTACAGTTTATTACTTGCGCAGAAATCCCTTCAACAATGTTATGAATAAATTTCGATTCATCTTCATGCCTGCGAGTATAAAATCACAAGGAACATCTTATAAATGATATTTTCCCATGTTTTTTAAAAGAGGGAAGAAAACATACACACATACAAAAATAGAACAGAATGTCCTTCTAGTTATATTTACAAAGCAATATTTTTTTATAGTTTGAGAAGATTGGACAAAGGATGCTAGAGACACTAATTTGTACACTAAATTTGACTCCAAATATGCACAAATGGATGACAATGCCACAAATCGATGACATGTTGGGTCCTTTGATTCTTGATCCTATCCCAAAAAATTTAAATCTATATATACCAAAAGAGTAGAGAAATCGAAACAAGCGAAAGCAGAAGGAAGTGTTAAAGTAATAATGTATACTTATCCAAGAGAGTCCACCCAGACAAGTTTGCTGCTTCTGAAAGAGCTGGCCTCCATTTGTGGATCTTGTCAACGTTATCCTTACATTTGCACTCAAGGCCAGCAAGTCCATCACCAGAACAACCCTTCTGATTTCGAACATCCGAGGGACTCACCTTGTAAAATACCGGTATCACCATCTGTTGATTTGATTTCTCGCAGTCAAGGATCTTAACAAGTTCGTCCAAGCACCATCTTGAGGAAGCATAGTTTTCCGAGAATACAATGACAGAAATCCTCGACTCTTCAATCGCTTTGAGGAGCGCTGTTGATATTTCTTCTCCTCTTGAAAAACAATCATCCATGAAGTTGTTAATTCCTTTTTGACGCAAAGCTGTACACAAATGGCCTGTGAAATTGTAGCGCGTGTCCTCGCCTCTAAAACTCAAGAATACATGGTATTTCCATGAATTGGTGAAACAAGGAGGAAGAGATGAAGATGAGGCAGCAGCTGCTGCTGCTTCTTTAGCCATAGAAGCTGACCAGATGATTGTTGCAAACAGATGATTGTTTCAATAGAGATTCAATTAATGTTTGACAAGCTACATGATTCATAAGTATTAACTTGTTCACAAATTAACAGTTGACTTTGGAATGAGGAGTGGCGACGAATGACGATGCTTCTTAGTGTAGAAGCAACTAGTAAATATGCCCGAGCGTTGTTACGGGACTTGAATGCACTAACCTTAACTGCATGAATAAGACACATTTAACTTCATAAATTAAACATAATCCTTAATGAATAGAGGGATAAATAATTGAACGGAATCGATATGATAAGCAGGCTGGTTTTTATATACATTTCAAAAGATATTACACACTTCAAAATCATCAATTAATTATCAACCAAAAATAATATTCATTAAACCTACAATAGTATAACTCTATTCAACAGAAGTTAAGAGAACTAATTGCTTGAAGAACATATAAATTTATACTAAATTGTAATATTAAATCTACATATCCTAACATGAAGTTATCGTAAATGCCCAAAAAGAAATCTAAACAAATAATTGAAATTAAAAACCAAATGGTTATCAAACGGCTCTTAAAGGAATACACATTTTGAATTTATTAAATGAAGTTTTTCAAGATCTTCAACTAAGTGAAACTAATATACAAATACAATGCTTATACAGGGATTGTCCAGAGATCATTGAAAACCAAATGCTTAACAATAGGGAACACAGTAAGTTAGAAGAAAAATATTATTGGAATTGTTGTATACTTTTGCTTTACATGTACACTGAAAGCTCTCTGACGTTTCCATGTGCAGAGCTCTACTTTCTTTTCTTCCTCACCTTTCGGTTCTTTCTCCTTAATCTAAGGAGATTGTTGTTTTGTTGTTAGTAGTTGCCATCATCATCACATTCAAATCAACTTTAGTTAATTGAATTAACTTTAATAATTGTAATAGGAAGTAATGATTATGTCCAACGTTTGGTTTGGGTCAACATTTGTAGGCTAATCTGGGAAAAATGTACTAAAAAGGTTTAAACACAAAACCCCGAAAATTATAAAATCAAAATATAATGTACTACCCCTTCTCTCCCGTTTTTCTCTCACCCTCCATTTCTTCAAATCACCTACCTCCCTCTCTCCCGTTATACTCCCTACCTCTCTCATAATATCAAAACTCTCAAACCCAATTCAGTGCCTCATCAGAACCCATACAGAATCTAATTGAATTTTTACCCAAACAAAGAATTCAATTGTAATATTTTAAAATTGAAGAAAACAAATCCCACAGATTTGGAAAAAAAAAAAAAAAAAAAAAAACACTCAGATGCAGGGTTCAAAGAACTTACCAGAAAACGTTAGCCTTTTTGGCTAAAAATCATCTTCAATCCAAATCAAAAAGCTGAAGAAGCTTAAACTGCTTCGGTTTTTTTAGCGAGCCAAGATTTGTGAGGGACAGAAAAACCTAAAAATATCCCAAATGATCCCAAATTTTGGAACTGATTTAAACCAACCCGCCATGAAATTATAGCCACTTAAGAAATCTTCTTCAAATCAGAACAGAAGAAGCAGCACAGACTGCCTTTCTTGAATTTAAAAATTATAACAAAATTCAATATCCTTCACTTTGAATTGGGAAGCATGAATGTTGAAACAAAACTATAAAAAAAAAAAATGGTTTGATCCTATGAATCATAATTAATTTTCATCAATCTGAAATTAGATTAAATAAAAAATTCAACTGAACATCTACAATGTAAAATTGACGATGAAAATCCGAAATAAAATCAAAATAATAAAAGTACATAGTTACAGTGTAGGTTTCTCTCCTAACCTTAGCTATGCAGAAAAATCACAAAGAATTCTAAGAACTGAAAACTAACAGAAGAAAAACCGGAGAGAGCTCTCAATTGGAGCCAAATCCTTGCCTTTATACCAAAATCGTCCTCGAACCCCAAGAAAAACAGGAGAGAGCTTTCAAATGAAGATGAAGAGGATAACCACAAGACCTCCATCTCAAGGTAATCTTCCTTCTTTCATTTTTACTGTTCATGCTAATCCTACTTGTACGGATAGAATTAAACAAACCCATTTGTTACTTTAATTCTATGATTCAAACCAAACCCTTGCCCTCGATTTGGACTTTCAATTGTTTGTTTGGGGCACTCTCCAAGATGAAGCAATATTCAGCTGTCGTTTCTATGTGTAAACAGTTGATGGGTTGCGCCCAATTCCGACCTGAGGTGGGTACATTGGGTATTCTTATGAATTGCTTGTGCTGTCTGAATCGGGTGGATTTGGGTTTCTCTGTTTTAGCAATTACCCTTAAATATGGTCTTAAACCCGATGCTCGTACTATGAATACTTTGCTCCATGGGCTTTGCAAGTACAGTTCCCTGGCCGAGGCAATGGAGTTCTTCCAGGATATAGAAATGAAAGGATGCAAATGCAATGAAATCACTTATGGTACCATGATCAATGGACTATGCAAAGCTGGGGAAACTTCTAGCGCTAGAGATACTTACGAAGATGTGGGAAGATGGAAGGTTAAAGCCCAACCAAGACTGCTACAATCCAATCATTGATAGCCTCTGTAAAGAAAGACAAATAGACGAGGCCTTGGCCATATTTCAAGATATGATCAGCAAAAGTGTTGTACTGAATGTTTTCAATTATACCACATTGATTCATGGGTTATGCAACACGAGTCGCTGGGAAGAAGTGCTCTCTCTTTTTGAAGGAATGGTAGATCAAGGAGTCAAGCCTAATGTTGTCACCTACAACACTCTAATTTATGGACTGTGCCAATCGGGGAGGTATGAAAAAGCCAAGAGCTTCTTGATTTGCATGCTTAACAGTGGAATTTCACCCAACGTATACACCTATAATGTTCTTCTGAACACTCTTTGCAAGGAAGAAAGAATTCAAGAAGCACTTACTCTGTTTGGAACAATGACTGAGAAAGGTATAAAGCCTGATGTTGTCACTTTTAATTTCTTGATTTCTGCTTCATGCAAGTCTGGTAACTGGGACGAAGGTGTGAGGTTATTTAAAAACATGATTGATTATGGAGTCTTGCCTGATATTGTTACATACGATGCTGTTTTGGATGCCTTATGCAAGGAAGGGAAGACAGAAGAGGCACTGAATCTTGTGGAAGAAATGGTCCGCAGAGGTGAAAAGCCTAATTGTGTGACTTATAACTCCTTAATTAATGGATTGTGCCGGACCAGCCAATGGAGAGAAGCCACAAGGTTGTTTGATGAAATGGTATGCCATGGAATCTTACCTAATTTCATAACTTTGAAGATACTCTCGGGTGCTCTCTGCATTGGACGGATGACAGATGAGGTTTGCAAAGAAGCAAGAATAGATGGAGCTTTGTAGCTTGGTAAAGAAATGGTCCAAAAAGGATTGACGCCTGGTCTAGAAACGGGAGGAATGTTAGGAGGTTCCTCGTCCTAATCTACATGCTTCATGTGCAGAATAGGTTGAAATTTATATTGATGAAGAGTGATCATATGTAATTGAACTTCTAAGGATGAGTGGTTATATGTTTCTCCTTTTTGTTACACGCTACTTGTGTGATGTTACGTCAAGATCCTCCTTTTCATGGTGCTTCCCAATTAAATGTTGGTCCCTCTCCTCTAGAAATTGGTCGTTCAAGGAATATTGCAGCGAGAGGATTGATTAGAGATAACATGACCGCTAATCTCGACTGAGGTGAGATTTTATCTGCAGAATCACGAGTCTTCTGCGTGGTTGCAGTCATAGGATAACGTCATCTTTTGGTGGAAGTTGACTCCCATTCTCATCTTTTGCTATATTGATTGCCTAATGAACAGGCACTGCCTATTTTTATTTGATGTCATATGGATTCATATTTGTTGATTCCGTGAGGTATTTTAAATGGTGGTAGTCTCGGATGTTAGTGAGATTTGGTGCTAATCAGGTTGCTACTTAGTGTGTGATATTTGAGCGTGCGTTTTCCCTAGCTTGTGCAAAACTAAATACTTCTGGAAAGAAGGCAGCGGCAGATATATGTTGGCCGCATATCGACTTCAGTTTAGGGCTTGTTTAATAACCATTTCGTTATTAATTTTTAGTATTTTGTGCTTGGTGTGCGATGAAAGTATACGATGGAAAGGTAGAACAAGGGAGGGGGGACGAGAGTGAGGAATAAATAAAAAAAGAAAGAAAACAAAATCAAACAGAAAGGAGTTTTGGTTTTTTTATTATGACTTTTCATTTTGTATGTTTTTTCTCGGTTTCTACTTCCACATATGCCCAAAATCAAACTCAATATAATGAAAACAATTACAACTGAAGATACATTTTTTTTATATTCTCTCTATGCTTAACAGAGGCTAATCTTTCATATACGCCGCCGTCAATGCGTAAACATGTCCATGGAGAGCTCATCTCCTTAACACCTCGTCATAGGGCTATTTGTCAATGATTGTTCAAGATGTATTGCACATCACGCCATTATTTTTTATGTAGACAATCTTATTTTTCAACTAGTTGATCTTTATTTATTCCTTGCATAGGGTGACAATGCAATGGTGATTTACAAGACAAGAACTACATTCAAAAATGGTCCGATGTGCTTTGAAAAGCAAGCAGCAAAGAAAGAGACAAGAGACCGTTTAGAAAAAGAAAGCTAAAATCATTAGAGGAGAAAAAGTGTTTTTAGGGTAGAACCAAACATGTTGGGCTAAAAGTTTAGGTTTTAACCCAAAGTAAGAAGAACAATACTTGACTACTCAAAGATAAGTAGGAGCTCTTACTCAATTTTTTTAGTGTTTGAATCAAAGAACTCTGTACTTATGATCAGAACCGTTCATATTATGAATCCCACTGTAAAGATTATCTCTGAAAAAAATGAATTAAAATTAAGATCATTTAGTCAATCTATTTTAGGAAATATATAGACGGTTCGTAATATTTTTACCAATTCTGTATAAAAATTTCAAAACAAGATGTAGACGTGATGTAATCGCAACTGTTTAAATAGGAGGAGATGGAAGGGAAGAGAAACCTACTTCATCTTCGACAAGTGGTATCTAGAGCTTCATAACTTCATTGGCCTTTGTGTATGCTCATTCATTCACTAATACACACCGCAACAATCATTTCAATGTTTTCCGAACAATGCTTTACTCCTTAAAGGATGAGTAGGTGTTCCTACTCAAAATTGTTCGTTATCAATTCAG